TGCTGTGGGCTGCTGTGCTCAACATCTGGTTGCCAGGCCCTGCTCGGGAAGTCTGTGGGAGCGGCTGCTCCAGAACTGCACTGATCCTTCTCCAAACCTCCTCTCTGGTTTCCAGGAGGAAGAAAGAATCAACAGAATCAACATCGAGAACAGAATCCCTAAAGACCGTAAGCCTTCAAAATCACAATCACCATTGTTGTTGTTGTTTTAAGCAGGAGTTTGGTGCAAAATGTTGCAGTTTGCAAAAGTGTTCTTTGTATCCAGAGCTGCCAACTCTTGTTTGGGAAATTCCTGGAGATTTAGGGGTGGAGACCTCAGCAGGGTATAATGCCATAGGGCAGTGATGGCGAAAACTCATACATTAACATCTTTTGTCTTAAAAGAAAAACACAATAACAGAGCTTTCAATGATACAAACAACTTTTTATTGAAAGGTAAAAGTTTGCATTTGGCATGCTTTGGAACCATTAATGTGATTTTTGCTGTTGTATGCATGCTGATAATTTGTCTGACCTTGGCTCATACTTTGTAAGTTTGAGAGCAACACATACAGCACTCCGGTCCAGTGTTCCCTCTAAGCTGAGTTAGTGTGAGCTAGCTCACTGTTTTTTAGCTTCCGGCTCACACATTTTTGTCTTAGCTCAGGAAGGATGGTTCCAGAGCAAATTAATTCATGCAGTAGCTACATCGCTGGCTCACAACTTTAATGCCAGTAGCTCGCAACGTAGACATTTTGCTCACAAGACTCCGCAGCTTAGAGGGAGCCCTGCTCAGGTCATCTGTTAGTCTGTTTCTGGTGTCAGATTTGGTATAATTCAAAGCTGAAAACAGCTGCTCACAAGCATAAGATGACCCAAATAAAGTAAGGAAAGCAATCCTTCTAGAAGAAGAAGAGATTGGATTTATACCCTGCCCTTCACTACCCAAAGGTGTCTCAGAGCGGCTTAAAAACTCCTTTCCCTTCCCCCTCCACACAACAGACACCCTGTGAGGTAGGTGGGGCTGAGAGAGCTCTGACAGAGACTGCTCTTGAGAGAACAGCTCTTATCAGAACTACGGCTTGCCCAAGGTCATCCAGCCAGGTGCAAGTGGAGGAGTGGGGAATCAAACCCGGTTCTCCCAAATTACAGTCCGCGCACTTAACCACTACACCAAACTGGCTCTCCTATCTTCTCCAGTGTTTCACACAGGTCATAGAATTTATTTTTCCAGCCATAAGGTGTACCCTCCATTTTCTCCAGGGTAACTGATCTCTGTCACCTGGAGATCAGATGGAATTCTGGGAGATCTCCAGGCCTCAACTGGAGGCTGGCAACCTTATTCTGTATCCCCCAAGTATTGCCTCCTTGGGTTTGGTCGGGGCTTATGTAAAAATTATGTGAAAATCAGGGGGGGAAGTCTGCAAGAACGAAATGGGGATTTTGTAAGAGGTGAATTGTGCAGTCAGAGCAACGTAGGACTTATTTAGCGTTGTGGCGGGGAGGGGAGAGAGGCAGGAGTCAAAGGACAGGAATCGAAGACTCCTGAGCCCGTGGGTCTTAGGCTGGGCCTTACAAATGGGGACCTGGAATAGCCAGCTTGGTTGATCTGGACCAGCCCAGATTTCTCTTTGTCTCTTCAAGTAGTTTCAGTCCCCTCACCCAATGCTCCCTCTAAGCGGCAGAGTCTCGTGAGCAAATATTCTACTTTGTGAGCTGCAGGGATTAAAGTTGTGAGTGAACGATTTGGCTGCTGCATTTATTAGTTTGCTCTGGAGCCCTCCTTCCTGAGCGAAGGCAAAAATGTGTGAGCCAGAGGCTAAAAAAAACTGAGCTAGCTCACACTAACTTGGCTTAGAGGGAACACTCCCCCCCACCCCTTTTGGGCCTAAGAAACGCTCAAATAAATACAACATGAAGAGTTGAACAAAGTTTGAGTGCGGTGGCACCTTTAAGACTGGCAAAGTTTCATTCTGCGAATACATTTTCGTGTGCACAGAGAAGCTTCTACCCAGAATAAAACTCTGTTGGTCTTCAAGGTGCCGCCGCACTCAAACTTTGTTCCGTGGCTTCAGACCAACACGGCTATCCCACCCAAATCCATCAACTTGAAGAGCCGTGTGCTTGAAATTCCATCCCCATGTAAACCTCTCTTTGCATACGCGGGAAGATTTTGGTTTGTGTACTGGTGTGCGGCTCACATTTGAAGCGTGTGAACACCCCACCCCGATCCCATGTACAGGGGTCATTTCGTAGAAGAAGAGGTGCAGGAGCTCATTAGCATAACTCATTAGCATAACTCATTTGCATATGCCTGACATCACCGGAAGTGTGTCAGAAGGCAACACCCACCGCTCAGGCTCCACTGGACTGTTTTGGATTGCTAGCTATTGGGGGGGGGGGAGAACGTGCAGATCTGTCCTCACAAAGGAGGGAGAGCTGGTACCTGAATAAAACCTGGTCTTAAAGGTGCCACTGGACTGTTTTGGACAAGGGGGCTGGGGGGGGGGCTCTTCAGCTTACCTGGCTGCTTCTTGCTCTGACTAAGGGCTGCTGGGAGCAGGGGGCGGGGCTTGTTGCATGTGCCCGCCCCCTGGGCTCTTTACTGCCGGAGCTCCGCTCCTGTGCGCTCCTACAGGAAATGACCCCTGCCCATGCACCTATCTCACCAGAATCTGCCCCAGTCTGCACCGCAAGTCCTAGCAAACTACTGAGCTCTGCTCCTTGGAACTAGGGTTGCCAAATTCAGATCGTCCGGGAGCGGGGGGCTCCCGGACGATCCCGGGGGGCTCCCGGACGATCCCGGGCATTTGAGGGGAAAACTCTTTGTTTTCCCCTCAAATTGCGTGGCCCCGCCCCCAGCGTGCGACGTCACTTCCGGGTGACGCGCACGTGGGGGTGGGGTTTCCCCCGGGCCCCGATTTCGGCGCGCCGGTAATCGGAGGTCCGAAGCGGGGGAATCCCCGCCCCCCGGCTGCATTTGGCAGCCCTACTTGGAACAGCAGTGCTCTAAGACAAGAAGAAGAAGAAGTGATTGGGTTTTTTAAAATTATTATTATTTATTTATTAGATTTCTATCCTGGCCAAAGCCGGCTCAGGGCGGCTTACATAAAACACCTAAAATTTTTACAGTGCACATAAAAGAGCTTAAGAGCAGCATGTAACAAACAATGCTGAAACCAGAATTATACCCCGCCCTCCACTTGGAGTCTTAGAGCGGCTTACAAACTCCTTTCCTTTCCCCTCCCCACAAGAGGCACCCTGGGAGGTCGGTGGGGCTGAGAGAGCTCTTGAGAGAACAGCTTTGACAGAACTGTGGTTTGCCCAAGGTCATCCAACAGCTGCAAGTGGAGGAGTGGGAAATCAAACCTGTTTCTCCCAGATTAGAGTCCGCGCACTTAACCACGACACCAAACTGGCACCAAGGCAAAGGAAAAGGACATCTTGAAATTGCACTGGGGAACCTGGCATGAGCTGTTTTGTTCTCTGCCTATCCCAGGGGTCCCCAGCAGTGTTCCCTCTAAGCTGAGTTAGTGTGAGCTAGCTCAGTAGTTTTTTAGCCTCCAGCTCAGACATTTTTGTCTTGGCTCAGGAAGGAGGGCTCCAGAAGAAGAAGAAGAGATTGGATTTATACCCCGCACTTCACTTGGAGTCTCAGAGCGGCTGACGATCTCCTTCCCCTTCCCCTCCCCACAACAGACACCCTGTGAGGTAGGTGGGGCTGAGAGAGCTCTGGCAGAAACGGCTCTTTTTCAAGGACAGCCCTGACAGAACTATGGCTTGCCCAAGGTCATCCAGCAGCTGCAAGTGGGGGAGTGGGGGAATCAAACCCAGTTCTCCCAGATTAGAGTCCGCGCACTTAACCACTACACCAAACTGGCAAACTAATTGATGCAGTAGCCAAATTGCTCACTCACAACTTTAGTGCCAGTAGCTCACCAAGGAGAATTTTTGCTCACCAGACTCCACAGCTTAGAGGGAGCCTTGGTCCCCAGCGTGGCACCCGCCAACGCCTTTCCTAGCAACGCCAAGTGGTCTATGGGGTTTCCAGTCTCCAGGTGGTGGTTGGAGATTTCCCGCTATTACAAGTGATCTTCAGGCAACAGAGATTGGTTCACCTGGGGGAAACGGCGGCTTTGGAAGGTGGGCTCTATGGCATTATGCCCCACTGAGCTCCCCCCCCCCCCCCAAAAAAAAATAATCTCCAGGTATATCCCAATCCGGAGCTGACAACCCTATTTTAGGAAGCGGGCTGAGCTAGGTGGGGCTAGGGCCCAGATTTCTGGTTTGCCTTTGGAGATTCGGTCAGCTGTGCAGATTTCTTTATTTTTCAACGTCGCTTCGGCACCCGCTGCCCCCACCGAACAAGGCCCTTCCCTTTGTGACTCTTGGCAAGCCGCGGCAGCCATTTTGTCACTGCCTCTGTGTCTTGTGGCGGCCATTTTGTGGCTGTGCCCTCCATGCTGTATCAGAGTTCCAAAGGTGCCTGCAGGCTGAAAACGGTTGTGTGTGTGTGGGTGTCTCTGGCCTATCCTAACGGGTCCTCTAATGGGTTGCAGCTTTCCGGCACCTGAAGAGAGGGTACCTGTTCATGTACAACCTGGTGCAGTTCCTGGGCTTCTCCTGGATCTTCGTGAACATGACGGTTCGGCTTTTCATGCTGGGGAAAGGCAAGTCCGGTTTCCTCCTCTTTTCCCCGCGAGCCGCCAGGAGGCGTGGAACTGGGTCGAGGGTCCTGCTGCCAGTTTATTTAAAGTTTAGTAGCCCAAAGGCCATACACCATTTTTTAAAAAAACGTTGTTGTTGTTCAGTCGCACAGTCGAGTCCGACTCTTCGCGACCCCATGGACCAGCTCCCGCCAGGCCTTCCGGTCTTCCGCCGTCCTCTGAAGTTGGCTCAATTTCAATTAAAAAATAGGAAATTAAAAGAACAGTAAAAAAGAAATTTGCCACATCCACGATGCCAGTATCGTCTCGGACCAATTCCAGCCACTATGTTTTTCATCCCCAGCTCCCAGGTTGACAAAAATGGTGGCTCAGTTGTACGTAACCAGGTTGGTCCGATGGAAGTGCTCGCCCCCCCAGGCACAACTCAGGCATTAGAGAGCGAGTGTCTATACATTTGCAGCTGTCAAAATGTTATATACTGTGACCTCTGATTGTTGCAGGTTGAAAATGAAACACGGGGGAGATGAGCAGCCGCGTGCTCGGAGGCTTAGTAAGGGCAGGAGGCCGAGCAGAGTGGCACCATTGCCTGCTCTTTCTCTCTGTCCTCCTGGGCCTGCCGTGTTCTACGTGTGACTTTGTCGTACGGATCTAAAAAGCCAGATGCCATGCAAGACGTAGAGGAGGGACTTGGAGGCGAATGTCTCCCCCAGTGGTTGCCCCCTCCTCAGCCAGTGATTGTTCAGTGTACACGGCGGTCCCCTTTATCTGTCCCTGATGGACCCATTGTCCGTGAACCTATCGACTCCCTTTTTAAAGCCATCTGACCTGTTAGCCCTCATTACCTCTTGTAGCACTCAGTTCCGCAGGCTCTTTCTTCCGGCCGTTTATCCAATTAATGCTTCAACCGGACTGGCTCCTTCCTTTCTTTGCAGATTCCTTCTTTGATACATTCCACGCCACCTCGGACATGATGTACCTGTGCCAGACGCTGGCCGTGATGGAGATTGTGAACGCCTTGATCGGCCTCGTCCGCGCTCCTCTGGTCCCCATTTTGCTCCAGGTGGGCTCCCTTGGAGAGAATTCGGAAAAGCACTTGCTTTTGAACAGCGGCTGGCATTTTGAACTGAGCCAAGGGATCATTGCTTTCCCCCCTCTTCAGGCTTCCTCCAGAACCTGTCGAGCCAGACCCTCAGGCAAGGGGGTACCTCTTCTGCAAAGCCCACCCAGGAAAAGAAGAGGAGATTGGATTTATACCCCGCCCTTCACTCCCCAAAGGAGTCTCAGAGCGGCTTACAAACTCCTTTCCCTTCTCCTCCCCACAACAGGCAACCTGTGAGGTAGGTGGGGCTGAGAGACCTCTCTCGACGACTGCTCTTGACAGAACAGCCCTGACAGAACTATGGCTTGCCCAAGGTCATCCAGCAGCTGCAAGTGGAGGAGTGGGGAATCAAACCCGGTTCTCCCGGTTTAGAGTCCGAGCACTTAACCACTACACCAAACTGGCTCTCACACCAAACTGACTCTCAGCATTGCCCTACCAAGGGGAGGAGTCGAGCGTTTTGCTTTCTCATGCACAATGAAGAACTAATTCTGCAATGGGATTTTATTGTGTGAAACAGCAAGTTTCACAGTTTGGTGTAGTGGTTAAGTGCACGGACTCTAATCTGGGAGAAGCGGGTCTGATTCCCCACTCCTCCACTTGCAGCTGCTGGTCTGAACTTGGGTCAGTCACAAGTTCTCTCGGGAGTAGTCCTCGAATGAGCTCTCTCAGCCTCACCTACCTCACAGGGTATCTGTTGTGGGGAAGGGAAAGGAAAGGAGTTTGTAAGCCATTCGGAGGCTCCAAGTGAAGGGTGGGGTGTAAATCCAATCTCCTCCTCCAAAACCCAGTTGCAAAAAGTCAATATAGTGTAGGGGTGTCAAACATGCGGCCCGGGGGGCCGGATCAGGCCCACAGTGGAACTGGCTGTCTTCTGCTTCTTCTTCCAGTTCTGCTGCTGCTGCGTCATCGTAGGTTTGTAGTTTACAGATACCCCCCTGAACAGCACACTCAAAATTCCAACAGCACAGACATTTTGATGCAATAATTCAGAAGGTAGTGAATGGTGGGGTATAAATCCAAACTCTTCTTCTTTTTCTTTCAACCCCTCCCCCCTGCAGGTCTTCGGGAGGAATTTCATTCTCTTTGTTGTCCTCGGAGGGGTGGAGGAGATGCAAAGCAAAGCGGTCGTGTTCTTTGTCTTCTACATCTGGAGCTTGGTGGAGATATTCAGGTATGGGGGAAGGCAGTTCTCCACCGCCTTTCACATCTGGAACTGCCTCCCGCAGCATCTGTACGGGTGCCGCCTCACTCCCAGCTTTGAATTCTCTCACTTTTGGCTTAAGAACATAAGAGCATAAGAGAAGCCAATGTTGGATCAGACCAGTGACACATCCAGTCCAACACTCTGTGTCACACAGTGGCCAAAAATACCAGGTGCCATCAGGAGGCCCAGCAGATGGGGCCAGGACACTCGAAGCCCTCCCACTGTTGCCCCCCCCCCAACACCCACGAATAGAGAGGATCCCTTGCCCCAGACCAAGAGTTCCTATAAGAACATAAGAGAAGCCAATGTTGGATCAGGCCAATGGCCCATCCAGTCCAACACTCTGTCACACAGTGGCCAAAAGTACCAGGGGCCCTCAGGAGGTCCAGCAGTGGGGCCAGGACACTAGAAGCCCTCCCACTGTTGCCCCCCTCCCAAGCACCATGAATACAGAGCACCACTTGCCCCAGACTGAGAGTTCCTATCTATACCTTGTGGCTAATAGCCCCTGATGGACCTCTGCTCCATATGCTTATCCAATTCCCTCTTATAAGAACATAAGAGAAGCCAATGTTGGATCAGGCCAAAGGCCCATCCAGTCCAACACTCTGTGTCACACAGTGGCCAAAAATACCAGGGGCCATCAGGAGGCCCAGCAGTGGGGCCAGGACCAATGTTCCCTCTAAACTGTGGAGTCTTGTGAGCATTAAAGTTGTGAGTGAGCAATTTGGCTACTGGATATATTAGTCTGCTGTGGAGCGATCCTTCCTGAGCTAAGACAAAAATATGTGAGCTGGAGGGTAAAAAACTGTGAGCTAGCTCACACGAACTCAGCTTAGAGGGAACACTGGCCAGGACACTAGAAGCCATCCCACTGTTGCCCCCCCCCC